CAGAAATCACTGATATTTTTTGTTGTATTTTTTAACATGGCTAAAAAATCTTCAAATATCTATAGTTTAAAAAAAAAACAATATAATATATTAAAGAAAGATATAATTTAAATTTTAAAAAAAAAGCAATGTCATCGTCTAATAAACCTCCTAAAAAGAAGAAGCAACAGTTAAAAAACTCTGATATCGTTGCTCCGGGTGGTAATTATGGGTATGGGTATTCTGGTGTAGTTGCTTCTTTCAATACTGCCATATCAAAGTATGTGAATTATACAAATGCAAAAACTGTCGCGGCCCTTGCGAACAACCAAAAAGAGATAGTGGAAGTTTTGGCAACCTAGCAAAATAAATCAAAACAAAAACTAAATAATGATAATACGAAGCTTATTAAATCTATAAGTAATGATCAGACAAAAACTGTAAAAAATTTAACTAGTTCATACGAGAAAACTATCAAGAATCTAAGCAGTAATTATAAAGAAGTCATCAAGAATTTAAGTGATAATCAAACAAAGGTAGTGACGGGGTTGAGTAGAAATCATACTGATATTATAAAAACTATGAACAATAATAAGGTAAAAAAATCAAAAGATATGCATGATGTGTATGGAAAGGTTATTGACTTCATACAGATCAATTATAACAAGAGATTGCAGAATCAGGATGATTTGATCAAGATGCTGGCTATTAGCAATATTAATGTGATGAATAAGTTGTTAGACCATGTGACTAGTACTAGTAAGGCAAAAAATACCTCGAGGGATAATATGGTGAATCAGTTGTTGGATTATTTGATGAATAGTAATAATAATAAATCAAAAAAAAATGATTTAGACAAATTTAAGAAAACTTTAAAACTTTTGAATAAGGAGCAAACACAGGTATTACTTAAAAAGATTGATAGTTTAGGAGTAAAGAATAGCGATCCTGAATTGTATAAAATAATTCTTGAGAATGTAAAGATTTGAATTTTTTTTTAAAAAATAAAGTATAAATTCCCTGTTAGTTGTTATTTTTACTAAAACAAATGTCTAATTTTCTTTTGTACATTACCTATATTAATTTCAATATCTGCTATTTACTTTTTATTTTTATTGCATCTGTTGTGTTCTATTGACTTTGCAATAGCAAATTGATTGATTTCTTGTATATCTTAAAAAGCTACATTACACTTTTGGCTACAAATATTCGGTTAACAATCCTGAAAGCTATTAGGGCATTAGACACCTATAACAATAAAACTATTTAAATCTGCTGTGCACAAAGAGCAAAAAAATAACTAAGAAAAAAGGTTCAACAATCAAGAAAAACCAGCAAACTAAAAACATAAAAAAATCAAAGATAGCAAAAAAACAGTTGCCGATAAAAAGAAAAACCAAGTTTCATTTTTCCAGCACTTGTTGTGGTAAAAATATATTATAAGCAAATGAAAAGTTGCTTTGTTAGTAGAATCTGAACTAAAACCTAAAAAGGTTTGCCAATTGGAACATGTATAGTTGGCAATAAATCATCATATAACTTATTTTCTTTCATAGATGGTTCAGAATTTGAAACTGGAGTTGAGATCAGTTCTAATTGATTATCTATTTGTTCAGGTTTATCAATTTGTTTTTCATTATCAGTTATGTGATTTCATCTAAATTATTCATCTCAATATCTTCAGGAATATTTGGCCAATTAATATTTTCAGGATCCTTCGGTTAAATATTTACTCCTAACAATTTAGGGTTTTCTTGAAAAAACTGCTCTACCGCATACTTAAATGCCATTGTCAACTCAATCTCTGAATCCTCATAACCCTTAGGATAACTTAATTGTTTTTTTTTTTCTTCATGATAACAACAAGAAACATATTGCTTATTGGGACCAAATTTACACTTACAACTCATTGTATTAATGTTAAAATTTAAGATAATATTGTTTATTAATAAAAAAAAAGAAAAACATGATATTTATATATTTTTA